GAGATGAATTTGTACAATGCTATGAAGCTTCCAGCTTCTGTTACATGTATCTTGCGTCCAAGGTTGCCCGTTGCAACATTTCATCAAATACAAAGGAGACTAACATGCATGCTATTGCATCTCACTGATTGACAGATCATAGCAAATATGTACTCCCTCCGTTCCAAAATAAGTGTCTCAACTTTATGCAAACTTTAGTATAAAGTTGTACTACCACTAAAGTTGACACTTATTTTGGAACAGAGGCAGCTAAAGAAAAAAACGATCCATGCAGTCCCTAGCCCTTGAATCGTAAACCCTAACCAGGCTTCAATTTGCTGGCAATGTTCGAGCTTCCTAAGAAATGAAGTTTGCAACCTTTTGACCATTGGATCATTTTGTGCAGTTTCACCAAAATCGAGATGAGCATCCCTGTGGCAAAGAAATTGAAGAAGCGTGATTAGAATAAGATTACTGGGACTAGTTGATGAGACATAAACTCATCACAAGTACAGTACATAGAAGCCAGTAGAGGTATGTGTGGGGCAAATAAGTAGAGAAATATCCACATGGAGTGATGTGGGCAGCTGGAGCAGTGGTGCAAGCCGGTTGTAAAGGGAGTTGTACCTGAGGGATGTCGGGACGTAGCTCAACCTTGAGGAGGGCGGTGGGAGGTGGCAACTGCCCACGTCGCGGTAGTGAGCAAGGGACGAAGGCAACCTCACCGGCTTTGTGAGAGAGAACGGCGGGGCCGCTTGATCGGGACGTGTCGACAGTGGGTTTTCGCCGTCGGCGACGGCGACCGCATCTACACTAAGCATCCACCCCTTCCCTCGGCGGACGTGATCTGCCGGGATATTAAAGATGTGGCCACAGTCATTTTGTGCGAGAGAGTGTGAAGAGAGCAACCCCAGCAAGCAACCGTGTAGGCTAGCCCGTCCTGACTATGTATATACTGGAGTGGTTTCCTTTTCTCTCCATATGAACCTATCATATTGCGTACGTGCCATTGAAGAAAAAAAACTTTATTTATAAATGACGCGGCACCTACTACTCGTTCTCCTATAACCTTGCGCTTGGCATCTCCAAAATATTAACCTTACAATTGGCTCTTCGCCTCTTCGGGGAGTCGAGCAATAATGGTACTGCAGTATATATCGTTCTGGCTATATGAAACCGAATGAATTGTTGCACGTCCACCACGTGGGCGAGGGTCGAGGGGCAAGGGAGAGTGCGTACTATTACGTCCGTTTCAGGGGGTGTTTGTTTCAAGGGACTTTTTAGTGTAGGGACTAGAAAAAGTCCCTCTTAAAGACTTTTTAACCAAACAGGAGGGACTACTAGGGACTAAAACTTGCTTTTTGGGACTTAATGAAGAAGACTCTCAAGGAGAGTCTTTTTTGGGACTTTTCCAACAATGCCCCTCCCTGCACCCATTGCCTCGCCGCCCCATGGTGTTGTTTGGTTGTCATTTTTCTGTATACTACGGGTAACTGTTGGGGAACGTAGTAATTTCAAAATTTTCCTACGCACACGCAAGATCATGGTGATGCATAGCAACGAGAGGGGAGAGTGTGTCCACGTACCCTCGTAGAACGAAAGCGGAAGCGTTAGAACAACGCGGTTGATGTAGCCGTACGTCTTCACGGCCCGACCGATCAAGCACCGTAACTACAGCACCTCCGAGTTTTAGCACACGTTCAGCTCGATGACGATCCCCGTACTCCGATCCAGCAGAATGTCGGGGAAGAGTTCCATCAGCACGATGGCATGGTGACGACCTTGATGTTCTACCGTCGCAGGGCTTCGCCTAAGCACCGCTACAATATTATCGAGGAGGACTATGGTGGAGGGGGGCACCGCACACGGCTAAGAGATCAATGATCAATTGTTGTGTCTAGAGGTGCCCCCTGCCCCCGTATATAAAGGAGCCAGGGGGGAGGGGCGGCCGGCCTAGGAGGGGGCGCGCCAAGGGGAGTCCTACTCCCACCGGGAGTAGGACTCCCTCCTTCCTTGTTGGACTGGAGAAGGGGGGAAGGAGGAGGGAGAGAGGAAGGAAAAGAGGTGTCGCCCCCCTCTCCTTGTCCTATTCGGACTAGGGGGGAGGGGCGCGCGGCCCAGCCCTTGCCTCCTCTCCTCTTCTCCACTAAGGCCCATGTAGGCCCATTAAGCCCCCCGAGGGGTTCCAGTAACCTCTCGGTACTCCGGTAAAATCCCGATTTCACCCAAAACACTTCCGATATCCAAACACTACTAGGAAAAACACTACCAGTAGCGTAGGTTTTTCACATACCAGTAGCGCGTGCACCCGCGCTACTGCTACGGTGCTATAGCTAAATTTTAGTAGTAGCGCGTTTTTACCCCACGCTACAGCTAAAAAAGTTACTAGTAGCGTGTTCCACCAGCGCTACTGCTATTACGTACACGCGCTACCAGTAATCAAATAGTAGTAGCGTTGGTAAACTACAAACGCTACTAGTATCCTATATACTAGTAGGATACTAGTAGCGCCCAGTTCCTCCCCATGCTACTAGTAACTTATTAGGAATTAAAAAAATTAAAATGAAGCAATTCCATTTGGTCACACAATTTTCGTATCTACCATCACAATTTCTCATTGTAGCTAACGGCAACTCATGTATAATTCCTATCACATAGTGTTGTGTGCCTAGTCAATGTGCAAAGCCTGCCCGGCCTGATCATGTGGCCTGCAGCTGCGATGAAACACACCGAGCAACCTTGCGAGCCACACCTGACCAACGGCGGTCGCCGCCTTGAGTTGTGATGCCGTCACGTCCCTCGCCCTGACCCTCAGCTCCAGCAGGCCTCGATCGATGTCGTGCTCATGCGTCACCACCAGTGGACGAAGGAATCCATCGGCAGCCACGACACCATCCAGTCCACGAATCTCTCGACGACCGTCAGCGTCGCCACCACAAGCCTGCAGCATTACCAACAGAGATTTAGAAACTTCAGATTCTTCAGAAGAATGACACGGAAAAACAATGTGGTACATGTTGATGCCAATGTGCTACAATTTTTTTCCGAGATTCTTATTTAAGCCATAATGCACAACTTAACTACACATTGAAGCGGCACGTAGCTACTTCGATGACAAAAGATAACGCATAAGATTAGAAGCAATTTTGTTGTGTTGGAAGCCCTAAAAAGAAACAGCACCTACGAAGCACATAAGGAGCTAGAGGCATAATTCTTTCGGTAATTTTCTATCTATCCATTTTTCTAAGTAGTCACTTCAATACCTTGATAACTTTCACGTTTTCAAAGATAACAAAGTTCATGAATCTACGGTTGGTAGAGCATAGTGACTATACAAACTGAAGCCTGGAATATATGCCTGCCAGTTCATAGACTTGACAAATGAATTCTGAAGTTAATGGGCTTTTCCTCTTTCCTGAAGAAATCATTTGGTCTGCTCTTTGTTGGTACTACCTAGAAGAATTAGAAATACAAAAAAATGGCATCACTGAACAAGGGTAGATAGACAAGGTCTATCTTTTGTCCTCAAGTGAGAATTTAATTTATTAAAAAAAGACTAAAATTAGGTTTCATATATACACATAGTAGGAATTTACAGGAGAGTATAGCAGTAGCACCAAAACCAAAACAGTAAGAATGACGTCAAAATTGGAGATTCGGTAAAAAGAGTCATGTAAAAATGCTTACTGAGGACCGGATACTTACAGCTTTGCATAGCCCTTTAGACCAAACGCAAGGGCTTTGTCACAAAACCGTTGCACAAGCTTACGGGCAATAAATCTGTCACATACCTACAAAACTAAAGTTAAATGACAAAATACAATGATTCTAAGTGCTGAATTGGTGTTGCTCTGACACAATGATGCTAAGTGCGGAGTTTGGTGTTGCTCTGTGGAAGCAATTGGGTAAAGTTGGTTGTATAGAAGAGAAGCCCTACCATTCTATAGAAATGATTTTGTTACGAATCAAAAGAGGAGGTTGAGAATTTGTAATACCATAGTTACTATATTATCACATAAACTGCCCACTACCCAAGGAATTAATATCAATACTACATGGCTTATTCTAATCTACAAATTCTATTTCCTAAAAAAGGTACTGTCATGTTTCTAATGCTGGCACCAGTACCCACACTAGGAAAAGGGAGAACTGCAGTGTTTGTCCATTATAAACAACTGAAGAAACAAAGTAATAAACAGGATCACGGGAACAAACTTGCATATATAGTATTATTTGATAAAGTTTCTATGATTCAGGCAAACATTCTAAAAAGTGCATTAAGCAGACCTTTATAAATTCCTCAAAAGATAACTCCTTGGCCAAATCAGAACGTGTTACTCCTTGTTGCCACTGTGCCAGTAGCATTGGATGATGATTCCTGCAGGATATGCATAATAAAGTTATTTGTGGACGGAGTAACTTCAAGTCGGAATCAGTTTCGGTTGAAGAGTTCAAGATGAGGCATGCCTCTTCCTTATTTGCAGTAGCAGATCCATAGCTCAAGATAACAGAAACATGAATACGGGCAGCGACAGCTGAACCGACCGGCGCAGCTTCCATGACTGAAGCCACCAATTTGTCAAGCCGGTTGAGATTCGTCTTCATCCCTAATTTCCCAAGCTTGCTGGCTGTGTTCTCCATTACGGCATGCACAAACACCAGATCAAATTCGGACGCATCCTGGACATTCCCCTCTGCAAATCCCAGCAGAGTGAACGCCCGGTCGATTATTCTAGTGTCCTTAGAACTGCTGCCAGAACCTGACTGCGCGGCAAAATCCTCAGTTCCTCTTCATTTCTTCCGCACTAGCATCTCTTTTAATTACACAAAACAGTTATGATTTTCATCCTACACTGACTTACGTACATGAAGTAATTTGCACCATTTAGTTGGCAAGCAAATCAAGAAGTATCTGATATGTTGTTTCATAAAGAGTGGTGAGCATGTGCTAGTTATCTGGCAGCAAATGGACGGACTCACTAGAGAAGATCCTAGGAGTGGCTTATACGACCAAATTAGTCTCAGTACTGAGACACACACACCAGCTGGGCAGCAGATCTGTAGACGGTGATTTAGAGTGGCTTATACGACCAAATTAGGCACACATGATTTAGTTGAAGAAACAATAAACGGTGAAGGATATAGAGCGGGAGCAAATCTGTGGTGGACGACCAACAGTTTGCAGTTAAGACTTAAGATGGACCCCCATGATTCTAGTCGAAGAAACTGAATTAGTCGGATTGAGAAGAGAGGAACGGATTTATACCTCAACTGCGCTGCGCTGCAAGATCCGGCGGCTTCCCCTGCCTACAGGCGCCTCTTCAGGCTGCTGCACATACTCACCGGCGAGCAGGTCGCCGGTGGCCGGCTGGATGTACGAGCCCTGGGGCCGGGGGCCGGCGGTCCGCTACGAGATCCACTCCACGGTTACCCATCTCTCTCTGCACATATCGGCATCTCCAAACGCGGTCCGCTGCATAATTCACCGTTGACCGCGGGGGTGCGGACGGAGAGGAAGCCGCATGAGGCTATGGAGGCGAACGCGTCGAGCTGGACCTTCCCCCCTCCGCCCCCAGCGAGCAGCGCCGCATGGCCGGCGGCGTACAACACCAGCGCCCGGCTCGGCTTGTCCACCATTGCTCCGCCGCGCCGACACACACTGCTTCCCCTTCCCCTTTCCCTTCTCGCTCCGTCGCCTTATTCCGGAGAAGAACCGGGAGGGGATCCCGGCGGCAGAGGAGAGGAGAGGAGGTGGAGGGAGTCTGGATCGGGAATGGGTGCGGTGTGGGGTTGAACTGGGACGGTTGGTGGGGTGGGTAATGGATCGGGGGTGGTCCGGTGTGGAACTGACGGACTGTGCTAGCGGTAGCGCAGGGTGTCTCACCGGCTCTACGGTTATTCATTAGCAGTGGCGTAGGTTTACGACCCACGCTATTGTTATGGTTTGTCCGGTGGGCACGGTCAAGAATTATTTAGCAGTAGCATGCACCAAAGAAAGCAACGCTGCTGCTAAGTCATACCAGTAGCATGCTTTGTACCCAGCGCTACTGATAATTACCAGTAGCGTGGGGACACAAACAAACGCTATTGATAAAGTTCTATGTATAAGCATTTTCCTAGTAGTGAAATATAGGCTTCCAATATATCAATCTTCATGTCTCGACCATTTTGAGACTCCTCGTCATGTCCGTAGTCTTATCCGGGACTCCAAACAAACTTCGGTACATCAAAACTCATAAACTCATAATATAACTGTCATCGAAACCTTAAGCGTGCGGACCCTACGGGTTCGAGAACTATGTAGACATGACCGAGACACGTTTCCGGTCAATAACCAATAGCGGAACCTGGATGCTCATATTGGCTCCTACATATTCTACGAAGATCTTTATCGGTCAAACCGCATAACAACATACGTTGTTCTCTGTGTCATCGGTATGTTACTTGCCCGAGATTTGATCGTCCGTATCTCAATACCTAGTTCAATCTCGTTACCGGCAAGTCTCTTTACTCGTTACGTAATGCATCATTTCGTAACTAACTCATTAGCTACATTGCTTGCAAGGCTTATAGTGATGTGCATTACCGAGAGGGCCCAGAGATACCTCTACGACAATCGGGGTGACAAAACCTAATCTCAAAATACGCCAACCCAACATGTACCTTTGGAGACACCTGTAGAGCTCCTTTATAATCACCCAGTTACGTTGTGACGTTTGGTAGCACACAAAGTGTTCCTTCGGTAAACGGGAGTTGCATAATCTCATAGTTGTAGGAACATGTATAAGTCATGAAGAAAGCAATAGCAACATACTAAACGATCAAGTGCTAAGCTAACGGAATGAGTCAAGTCAATCACATCATTCTTCTAATGATGTGATCCTGTTAATCAAATGACAACTCATGTCTATGGTTAGGAAACATAACCATCTTTGATTAATGAGCTAGTCAAGTAGAGGCATACTAGTGACATTAAGTTTGTCTATGTATTCACACATGTATCATGTTTCCGGTTAATACAATTCTAGCACGAATAATAAACATTTATCATGATATGAGGAAATAAATAATAACTTTATTATTGCCTCTAGGGCATATTTCCTTCAGTCTCCCACTTGCACTAGAGTCAATAATCTAGATTACACAGTAATGATTCTAACACCCATGGAGTCTTAGTGCTGATCATGTTTTGCTCGTGGAAGAGGCTTAGTCAATGGGTCTGCAACATTCAGATACATATGTATCTTGCAAATCTCTATGTCTCCCACCTAGACTTGGTCCCGGATGGAATTGAAGCGTCTCTTGATGTGCTTGGTCCTCTTGTGAAATCTGGATTCCTTTGCCAAGGCAATTGCACCAGTATTGTCATAGAAGATCTTCATTGGTCCCGATGCACTAAGTATGACACCTAGATCGGAAATGAACTCCTTCATCCAGACTCCTTCATTTGCTGCTTCCGAAGCAGCTATGTACTCTGCTTCGCATGTAGATCCCGCCACGACGCTTTGTTTGGAACTGCACCAACTGACAGCTCCACCGTTCAATATAAACATGTATCTGGTTTGCGATTTAGAATCGTCTGGATCAGTGTCAAAGCTTGCATCGACGTAACCATTTACGACTAGCTTTTTGTCACCTCCATAAACGAGAAACATATCCTTAGTCCTTTTCAGGTATTTCAGGATGTTCTTGACCGCTGTCCAGTGATCCACTCCTGGATTACTTTGGTACCTCCCTGCCAAACTTATTGCTAAGCATACGTCAGGTCTGGTACACAGCATTGCATACATGATAGAGCCCATGGCTGAAACATAGGGAATATTTTTCATTTTCTCTCTATCTTCTGCTGTGGTCGGGCATTGAGTCTGACTCAACTTCACACCTTGTAATACAAGCAAGAACCCTTTCTTTGAGTGATCCATATTGAACCTTTTCAAAACTTTATCAAGGTATGTGCTTTGTGAAAGTCCAATTAAGCGTCTTGATCTATCTCTATAGATCTTGATGCCCAATATGTAAGCAGCTTCACTGAGGTCTTTCACTGAAAAACTTTTATTCAAGTATCCCTTTATGCTATCCAGAAATTCTATATCATTTCCAATTAACAATATGTCATCTACATATAATATCAGAAATGCTACAGAGCTCCCACTCACTTTTTTGTAAATACAGGCTTCTCCAAAAGTCTGTATAAAACCATATGCTATGATCACACTATCAAAGCGCTTATTCCAACTCCGAGAGGCTTGCACCAGTCCATAAATGGATCGCTGGAGCTTGCACACTTTGTTAGCACCTTTTGGATCGACAAAACCTTCTGGTTGCATCATATACAACTCTTCCTCCGGAAATCCATTTAGGAACGCAATTTTGACATCCATTTGCCATATTTCATAATCATAAAATGCGGCAATCGCTAACATGATTCGGACAGACTTAAGCATCGCTACAGGTGAGAAAGTCTCATCGTAGTCAACCCCTTGAACTTGTCGAAAACCTTTTGCAACAAGTCAAGCTTTCTAGACAATTACATTACCATCAGCGTCAGTCTTCTTCTAGAAAATCCATTTATTCTCGATGGCTTGCCGATCATCGGACAAGTCAACCAAAGTCCATACTTTGTTCTCATACATGGATCCCATCTCAGATTTCATAGCCTCAAGCCATTTTGCGGAATCTGGGCTCATCATCGCTTCCTCATAGTTCGTAGGTTCGTCATGGTCAAGTAACATGACTTCTAGAATAGGGTTACCGTACCACTCTGGTGCAGATCTTACTCTAGTTGACCTACGAGGTTCGGTAGTAACTTGATGTGAAGTTTCATGATCAATATCATTAGCTTCCTCACTGATTGGTGTAGTTTTCACAGGAACGGTTTCTTGTGATGAACTACTTTCCAATAAGGGAGTAGGTACAGTTACCTCATCAAGTTCTACTTTCCTCCCACTCACTTCTTTCGAGAGAAACTCCTTCTCTAGAAAGGATCCGAATTTAGCAACACAAATCTTGCCCTCGGATCTGTGATAGAAGGTGTACCCAATAGTCTCTTTTGGGTATCCTATGAAGACACATTTCTCCGATTTGGGTTCGAGCTTATCTGGTTGAAGTTTCTTCACATAAGCATCGCAGCTCCAAACTTTAAGAAACGACAACTTTGGTTTCTTGCCAAACCATAGTTCATAAGGCGTCATCTCAACGGATTTTGATGGTGCCCTATTTAATGTGAATGCAGCCGTCTCTAAAGCATAACCCCAAAATGATAGCGGTAAATCAGTGAGAGACATCATAGATCGCACCATATCTAGTAAAGTGCGATTACGATATTCGGACACACCATTTCGTTGTGGTGTTCCGGATGGCGTGAGTTGGGAAACTATTCCACATTGCTTCAAATGTAAACCAGACTCGTAACTCAAATATTCTCCTCCACGATCAGATCGTAAAAACTTTATTTTCTTGTTACGATGATTTTCCACTTCACTCTGAAATTCTTTGAACTTTTCAAATGTTTCAGACTTGCGTTTCATCAAGTAGATATACCCATATCTGCTCAAATCATCTGTGAAGGTGAGAAAATAAAGATACCCACTGTGAGCCTCAATATTCATTGGACCACACATATTAGTATGTATGATTTCCAATAAATCAGTTGCTCGCTCCATAGTTCCGGAGAACGGCCTTTTAATCATCTTGCCCATGAGGCACGGTTCGCAAGTACCAAGTGATTCATAATCAAGTGATTCCAGAAGTCCATCAGTATGGAGTTTCTTCATGCGCTTTACACCAATATGACCCAAACGGCAGTGCCACAAATAAGTTGCACTATCATTATCAACTCTGCATCTTTTTGCTTCAACATTATGAATATGTGTATCACTATTATCGAGATTTAATAAAAATAGACCACTCTTCAAGGGTGCATGACCATAAAAGATATTAATCATATAAATAGAACAACCATTATTCTCTGATTTAAATGAATAACTGTCTCGCATCAAACAAGATCCAGATATAATGTTCATGCTCAACACTGGCACCAAATAACAATTATTCAGGTCTCAAACTAATCCCGAAGGTAGATGTAGAGGTAGCGTGCCGACTGCGATCACATCGACTTTGGAACCATTTCCTACGTGCATCGTCACCTCGTCCTTAGCCAATCTTCGCTTAATCCGTAGTCCCTGTTTCTAGTTGCAAATATTAGCAACAGAACCAGTGTCAAATACCCATGTGCTACTGCGAGCATTAGTAAGGTACACATCAATAACATGTATATCACATATACCTTTGTTCACCTTGCCATCCTTCTTATCCGCCAAATACTTGGGGCAGTTCCGCTTCTAGTGACCAGTCTGCTTGCAGTAGAAGCACTTAGTCTCAGGCATAGGTCCAGACTTGGGTTTCTTCTCTTGAGCAGCAACTTGTTTGTTGTTCTTCTTGAAGTTCCCCTTCTTCTTCCCTTTACCCTTTTTCTTGAAACTAGTGGTCTTATTGACCATCAACACTTGATGCTCCTTTTTTATTTCTACCTCCGCAGCCTTTAGCATTGCGAAGAGCTCGGGAATAGTCTTGTCCATCCCTTGCATATTATAGTTCATCACGAAGCTCTTGTAGCTTGGTGGCAGTGATTGAAGAAT